TGGTGGAGAGGTCCTTCCCGAACGCCTCGGGGCGGGGATAGGGGCTTCCAGGTGCGAAAGGCGGAGAAACGACGACGAGGAAAGTGGGAGACTCGACGGTTCGAAACATTCGGAGAACCCATGTTTCGCGCGGCTCGGAGAACTAGCGTGGTGCCCACGGAAGGTCTGGGGTACAGTTTTGAGCCGACTCTGGTGGGGTGAGGCTTCCCGGAGCAAAGGATGAGGAGAGGGGGGAGGAGGGGATAGGAGAAGGTGAGCAACAGGAAGCGACAACCCGCATGAAGCACCTACGCGGGCGCAGGGGTTGGGCGCCGGGGCGCCAGCAGTGTCACTCAAGGATCGAGGTCGGTCTCGCGTCTGGTCGTGTGGGCAAAGGCGGAATCCGTGACACGGCAGCTGGAGTCAAAGCGATAATCAATACAGCTGTAATCGAAAAGATAAAAATTTAAATCGGAGATGGAAATAAGAGTCGGCAAGATGAAATCCGCCGACCCTGTGTCGGCGTGTGTCAGGGGCTTGTCCGTTCCCGTCGTTCGTTCGTTGTCGTCTCCGTCGTCTCCTGTCCCTGCGTCCACCCTTTCCCTGGGCCAGTCGTCTCCTGTCCCTGCGCTCCCCCTTTCCCTGGGCCCGTCTCCCCTCCTCCCCTTTCCCCCTCTTCCCTGGGCCCGTCGCCGCTCCCCCCCTCCGCTTTTCCAGGGCCTCCCCCTCAAGAGCAACGTTGTCAGTGAGTCGAAGGGAAGCCCCTTCCCTTTGATCCCTTCCCTGCCCGGGGGTGGTGGTCCAGGGGGGGGGTCCCGGGGGGGGGTCCCGGGGGGAGTCCCGTGGAGGTTCCCAGGGGGGGTCCCGCGTCAGATACGACCCCCTGGGGGTCCCTGGTCCCACACAAAGCCTCAGACGGGCCAAGAGCCGAGGCATTCTACCACGCCCTCTCCTCCCTCCCCCCTTCTCCCTCTATCCTCATCTCTCCTCTCTCCTCCGTCCCCCTCCAGAACCGAACCGGCCTCCTGGACGCTCGGCCACGGGACACCCCAGGACGCAGAATTCCGACGTCCCCGGGACCCTCCAGGACCCAGCCCCGAGGACCTCCTCCCAGGACCCAGCACCAGGAACCAGCCCCCCACAAAGTCCAGGACTCCCAGGCCCCAGGCCCTGCTCGCCTCGTCCTGCTCCTATTCATTTCCCCCCCTCCTCCTCCCTCTCCTCCCCCTCCTCCTCCTCCTCCTCCTCCTCCTCCTCCTCCTCCGCCTCCTCCTCCTCCTCCTCCCTCCTCCTCCTCCTCTCCTCCCTCCTCCTCCTCTCCATCCTCCTCTCCTCCTCCCCTCCTCCTCCTCCTCCTCTCACCTCCTCCTCCTCTCTCCTCCTCCTCCTCCTGTTCTCCATCCTCCTCCTCCTCCTCCTCCTCCTCCTCCTCCTCCTCCTCCTCCTCCTCCTCCTCCTCCTCCTCCTCTCCTCCTCCTCCTCCTCCTCCTCCTCCTCCTCCCTCCTCCTCCTCCTCCTCCTCCTCCTCCTCCTCCTCCTCCTCCTCCTCCTCTCCTCCTCCTCCTCCTCCTCCTCCTCCTCCTCCTCTCCTCCTCCTCCTCCTCCTCCGCCTCCTCCTCCTCCTCCTCCTCCTCCTCCTCCCTCCCTCCTCCTCCTCCTCCTCCTCCTCCTCCTCCTCCTCCTCCTCCTCCTCCTCCTCCTCCTCCTCCTCCTCCTCCTCCTCCTCCCCCTCCTTCTCCCTGACGTCCTCCGCCTGCTTTTGGTGTCCGTTCCATGGGAGCCTGCGTGGCCCCTGGCACTGCCCAATTTGGGCCTGATTTGGACCGGATTTGGAACAAATTTGGACCGGATTTGGACCAGACCTGGACTGTATTCGTGGGGGCTACGCAGGAGAACGAGGAGGGGGAGAGGGAACAGGAGGGGAGAGGAGGAGCAGGAGGATGGGCCAAATGCGGTCCCCACGCTGTCCACATGCAGGAAAAGCTGAGTTCAATGTCGCCGCCCAAGGCTCCCATGAACAGACATCGAACCTGCTGCTCCTCAACGTCCTTGTCCTGCTCGTCGTCTCCGTCTGCAGGGTCGGCGGCACCGGCCAAAAGGCCTTCGCAATCCGAAGTCGGAGAGACGATCATTAAAGACGGAGTCGGAAAGACTGGAGCTGGAATCAGAAAAAGAACATCGGCGGCGTCAAACAAATAAACTTGTTCCGTAAGCCCGGCGAGGGGGGGGAGAGTTCATTGGGCACAACCGCACTTGCCGCGCATGCGTCGCCGATGCGACGCGCGAGCAACACGCGCATGCGTCCAGCGCCCAACTGGCTACCTCAGACAGCTCGCAAGCTCTGTGACCGTCTAGCGGGTCTGGCGCGCAGTGGACAGTCCGCTACACGGGTACGGCAGAGAGCCCCACCGAATCCGGAACCACAGGCAAGAAGCCACATACCCGGCATCGCACCAGTCCCGCCACAGGAGGGCAGGCTGACCCCCGCCACAGCTTACAGCACCAGGGTGGACGAGCCCCCTCGCCAGACCTCGCGCCTGGCTCGTTGCGAGAAACTGCGGGCGCTGACCGTACTGCTGCCCTCGCTGCGTGCCGCCTGCGGGGGCACCGCCGGTCAGCGGCGTGCGCAAGGCATGGCCTTGAACAAAAATGGGAGCAGATCCTAAAGCGCATGTGCAGCCCCTCATTGCATACCTGATGCCTGAAACCCTTGCCTGGAGGAGGAAGAAGAGGCGGAGGAGGAGCAGGAGGAGGAGGACCAGTGTAAACCAAAGACGCATCAACGATGTTGCAATAAACCTTCCCCCCAAGTTCCCTCTTCATAGGTCCCTACAGATATTCATTTTCATTTAGGGAAATGTCCCGTTGGAAGACAACCGTCTGAAAATCCGCCGATCCTGTCGGCGTGTGCGAGAGGCTGTTTCGTTTGACTCGTCATCGTCGTCGTCGTCGTCGTCGGCGGCGGCGGCGACGGCGACAGCGGCGGCGGCGGGGGCGGCGGCGGCGGCGGCAGCGGCAGCGGCGTCGTCGTCGTCGTCGCAGCTCCCTCTTTTCCCTGGGACCTCCTCCTTGAGCGCGCCAGCCGAAGCTAGACAGCCCGAGCGAAATTGAGCAACAGCGTAGTTGAGTCGAGGGGGAGCCCCTTCCATTTGATTCCTTCCCCGCCAGGCGGGAAGGGGTCCCGGGGGGGGGTCCCAAGTCAGAATGCCATCCCCCCGGGGGCTTCCGAGGCCCCAAAGGCCCCTAGGAGGCCCGCAGACGCCCCCAAGGAACCGTCAGGAAGCTCCAAGAGGCTCCCGAAATGATCTCAGACATCACCAAAACTTCGTGCGGGTTCTTGGGCACCTCTTGGGGGCCTCGTGTAGCCTCTTGGGTGCTCTTGGGAGCGTCTGATCCCGACCTCCCTGAATGCCTCTTCCATGGTGGGGGTCGTCGCCCAGGATCGACAACACTGGCCGTAAGGCCTTAGCAGTCCTGAACCGTGCCAGAACACCAGTCCTGGGACTTGAATGCTGCAAATCAAAATTTTACTGTTGCGTCCGGACGATCCTGAATCGTGCCAGAACACCCGTCCTGGGCTTCCAACACCGCGAAGCAACGTAACCGCTGCGCCCTGACCGTCCTAAATCGTGCCAAAACACAATTTCTGGCACGTCAACCATAAGAATCCTTCAAACTGCTGTAAACTCTTAAACCGAATGGGCGCGGCGCTAAGGCGAGAGCCACACTTTGAAAAGGTACCGTCCTCCATCCGTGAAACTCTTGCTATCTTTCAAAGCGAATGTGCGCGGCGCTCAGGCGAGAGCCGCATTTTGAAAACGGGCCGCCCTCCGTCCGTGAAACGGTTACAGAACCTCTGCGTCAGAATCAGAAATCGTGAGGAAGTCTCAGGCGAAACGCCTGGCCCGCCCTACTGACACGACTCTGGGTGCGACAGGGACGAGTCATTTTCAAGGAGAACGGATGGAGGAGGGGGAGGAGGAGGTGGACTTGATCGTTTCCTACGTGTTGTATCCCTTGGAGACATCTGGGGGAGTCCTCGTGGCCACTGCTGCTGGCTCATAACTGGTCAGAACTCTTTGTGTGAGAGGGGTCTGGTAGTTAGCTTGAGTTCCAGGGGAACCCCGAGGAAGACCCTAGCATTGGGGTCCGGCCTTCAAGCGTCGCGACAAAAGACGACCGGCGTTTTTCTACAAATTGGGTCTCCAAAGGGTCGTTGTCGGAGCCCTGGGACGATCGACAAATGACCGGCGCGGAACGGCGGGGGTCCAGAGCACCAGGTGTCCGAGTCGTGGTTTGCAGGGGAGCCCTAGGCTAGACTCTCGCAGGGGGGCCCTCCCGAATTCGAGCCCACCTGGGAGGAGGAGAGGAGGAGAGGGGGAGGCAATGATGGTAGATGAAGAGGGTCTGAAATAGGCGGGGTTAAATCGAAGTGAAACGTAGAACCCCCACCAGGAAATCGCTTTTGATTTCGTGATCGTGTCGTGCGTGCGGGCAAGGCGAAGCTGCGTGGGCGGGCAAGCGGAATGAACCCACCGTGGCTGGGGCGAAATCTTGCTAAATGTTGCTCTTGCCCCCTGTTGGCAAGCGGAGTCCCGATGGTGTCCCGATGGAGTTCAAATGGTGTCCTGATGGTGTTCCGATGGTGTCCCAGTGGTGTCCCGATGGTGTCCACATGGTGTCCCGATGGTGCCCCGATGGTGATCCGATGGTCCCGTTGGTGTCCCGATGGTGCCCCGATGGTGTCCACATGGTGTCCCGATGGTGTCCACATGGTGTCCCGATGATGCCCCGATGGTGTCCCGATGGTGTCACTTTAGTTTCCCCCGCAGTCTCTTCGGGCGCTGCTTCTGATGGTCCCCCACACACAACGTCTTTTTCACCCGAAAGGTGGTCGTACAGGTGTGAGGTGGGGATGCTCGTTTCTTGGGGGGGCACCCATCTAATGAACTCTAAGTTCCGTGCACCGATGCCGGCTGAATCTCTCGTCAGACACCTGTTAGCCAGTGATGCGTCGCCAGTCAAAGTTCATCGGAGCCCTTCTCAGGGTCGCTCTTGCTCGACTTGCGCTTCTTTGCTTTCTTCTCGGCCTTCTCCATGTGCTCCTGCACCCACTCGACAATATCCTCGGCTGACACCCCCTTTACCTCTCCCTGTGTGAACTCCTCGCCCTTCTGGACCCACGAGGATACCGGCTCCCACTTTCTGATCACCTCGCCCTGCTTGAACAAGTGCAGCGACGGAAACTTCCCCAGGTCCAAGCCGAATCGGGCCTGCACCCCAGAGCTGATGCCTTTCACCCAGTGCTCCCCGACGCGGGCGCGGCCATGCAGCTCCTGGGCCACCTCCTTCAGGGCTGGCACCATGTCGTTGTGGAGCTTCTGCCCAGCGTGCCCGTGCCACTCCACCAGGAAGTACGGCTGTCTGAAGAACCACTTTGAGAACAGCTGCTTCTCCGTCAGAGTGATCAGCTGTGCCCCGTCCTTGGAGCCACCCTCCTTGGCCTCCTCGCCCCGCGCTAGCAGGGGAGTCAGTGCCAGCAGCAGCAGCAGCGGCGAAAAGGCCCGCGGCCGCACGTCTAGACCTATAGCGCGTTGCCGCATCCTCCTCCCTCTCCTTGTCCTCCGCGCCCTGAGGCACAGCAGACCTTCAGCCAAAACGGCTACGGACTACGTGCATGAGAACGGGACGAAGACGGAGCATGAGGGTGAGGACCGTATCGCGCACGGTCGCGAACCTGGACGCCTCATAGTCAGTCCTTGCCACTGCCTTGTCCATCTGTCCCCACCTCCACTGGCAGGCCTGCGATCTAGCGCCACCTCCTCCTCCTCATCTTCCTTTGCTGTATCGGTGGCCGAAGGTCCTAGCCTGCTCCAAAACTGCTATGTGCCCCGACTGCTTTGGGTCCAGGACCCTGGGTCAGGCAGCGGTGGAGGAGCGAGGAGAGACGGGGATCTCCTCCCCCTACGCATCCTCCTACCCCTCTTTCTCTTGGTATGTTGCTTTCTCCTCTTCCTCCTCCTCCTCCTCCTCCTCCTCCTCCTCCTCCTCCTCCTCCTCAGGCCTGCACCGTTTCTGGTGCTCTGCTTTCGCAAGTTACGAACGCATTGATAATGTCACCAAATTCGGCAATGGCGTCTTGTACCGCATGTCTGGCCCCTAAGTGCGGCTCATGAAAGCATCACCCATGCGGTTGAGGTTCCGAGCGCAACCAAAATGACAACGAGTTCGGCCAGCTACTGTCGGCCTGCACGCCGTTGGCCAACCAGGCAAAACCCCATTTAGGTAGCATTGCCACTCGCACCTGAGAGCGTCATGCACCACATCAATCACAATGGCGAGTTGCGCTGCCTACTTGGTCCCAGCGCGAACCAGGTATCTCCCTTGCGGCGGCCGTCCCTTCAGCTCGATAGTTTACATGTTTCTGGCAACGCCTCTCCAGTGGAAGACCAGCATCATGATTATTGTCGTCCACTCCCTCCTCCTCCTCCTCCTCCTCCTCCTCCTCCTCCTCCTCCTCCTCCTCCTCCGCCGCCTCCTCGCCGCCCCCCAATCTACATATGCATACGTATACAGAAACGCAGCGTGGCATAGGTAGGATTTCCAGTTCCCTCCAGCACTTCAAGCTCCCAAGTAGACACGTGTAGTATTAGAGTTCCACTGTTGTACTGATTCAAATCCGCGCGAAGGGGGGGAGTCCGAAAAGGAACCGGCTACCACCCCAGAATCGCGTTGCCTGAATTTATGGGGGGGCCCAGGACACATAAGAATACAACAGATTTGCGCTCCCGCTGCCAGAATCCCTCCTAAATTACATCACGCTCGCGCTCCTGAGGCCACAATTCCTTGCACATTACATAGGATTCGCATGCCTGGCGACATAATCCCACATAAGTTGCACCTGATTCGTACAACCGAGGTCACAACCATTAGAAAATTACGCCAGCCTCGCGCTCCCGACATAACAATCAGTAATACATCACATCTGGCTCGCGCTCTCCTCCGACGGGAGCCGCGTACGCATCAAGCGGCGGCTCCTCGTCCTCCTCGTCACCCATGGTGTCGACCCTCCGCCATTCCGAAGACGCACGTCTGACTCATAAAGGTGTCACACTCGTACGTCGTCGCTCCACTGCTTATTCCACCAGTCTCGGGCATTCGCCTTCTGGGACGTCGTCCGTGAACTCGCTCACCCTCGTAGGGCGCGCTGGCGCCCTGCGTGGGAGCTGATGCCAGCTCCGATACCACCAATTTCGGTAGAACTGCGGAGGAGCGGCAGAGATGAGTACCTCAGGGAGTACGATCCACTGTATGGAGGAGGAGGTCAAGGAGGGAGCCGAACGACGCGTCGTCGGGCTCAGGAGCCCAACTTTCAGACGCAGCTAGACATCCTCGCGAAGTCGCTCAATACTCCCCAAGAGCAGGCGAAGAGGCAGGAGAGGTCCAGCAAGCCCAAGGAGAAGGCCAAGGTCCGACCCAGAAGAAGGCCAAGACGTACGCCGGGCTCCCGATCGTCGAGAGGCTCAGGGCGCTGATAATGTCGCTTGATGAAGAGAAAGGACGGATCAAAGGCAGAGCCGTCACGACCCCACAGGTGATCCAGAAGTTGAAGGTGCTGCGTGCAACGTTTGCGGCATCACCGAGCACCCCCGCGACGCCAGCGACATGGGCTGAAGTTGCAGGGAATGGAGCGGGAGCAGGTGCCAATACAAAATATCGTCTGGTACGTGAACCGTGGGGTCAAGCCATACTGACCACTGCGGAGAAGTTCCAGCATGGTTTAGAGACGGAGACCGACCAGAAGCCCATCGTGGTGCTGACGGCGACGGAGGCGGAGTATGACCAGGCTATTCGCGTGTGCGGGGCGCTCGGCAACAAGGACAACATCACGACGGCCAGCCTGGACAGCAAAGCCGCGGAGGTAGTGCTAGTGGAGGGCCAGAAAGGTCCCATCAAGATGAAGGCGAAGCGAGACTACGGGGGCGACAAGGCACCGAAGCAGACGACGCTGGCGCCCAGGATGAATGACGACGAGCCAGTCCCGACGGACAAGCTCAAGATGATCGACTTCCGCGTCACGGTGGTCGAGGACTGCGCGGAGGATGTGATCTACGCCAAGGCGGCGGAGGCGCCCGAGACCATACCAGCTCTGGTCCCAGGGCCTCTTGCAGAGAAGGTACTGAGAACGAATGGAGCCATCAAGTACGAGAGTAAGTGCACGTGTGTTATTGCGATTCCAGCGGTTGTGGAAGCTACGCTGAAAACCATGACTCCGCAGCTAGGCGTCTTCGTCATGCAGCAGAACTCCACCACGCAGCCGAGGTGGATTGCCAAGAAGGGGGAGGAGTTGAACAAGCAGGATTATGCCAGTTTGTCTTCTGGTCAAGAATTTTCGTGAGCCTTTGGTGTACGCGAAGATCCTAACTGGGAACTGTTGCACCTGCAGGCCTAGCTCAGGATCTTCACGTCCAGAAATGATACTTTGAAGCATGGGCTGCCGACCTGGACTACTTCAGCAAGTGTGATGGAGTGGGCGGAGGCCCGAGGTTCCTAGGTGTGAGCGACGCTGGGCGAGCTGGTGTGCGAGCCTGGGCTTTCTTGGGCGACCCGTCCGAAGGCGTGCAAGCTACAGCTTTTACCTTTGCTTCTGGGGTCCTGGTAACGGAGCACGAGCCCGTCGGACACGAAGGTCAAAGCGAAGCCTGCGAAATCGGGCTGGGGTGCGACTCAGCCGAAGGACCATGACTTCAAAGATCTACTCGAGACGGTGATCGTACCGACAATAGCGGAGGATGTACCGGTTGACGACGCTGATCAGGATGGGGATGCCGACATGAAAGAAGAACCTGAAAGCAAGGAGCCGAAAGGAAAGCGAGTGAAAGGTGCTGATGGCAAAACGGTCAACAGCCCCCATGAGCCTCCCTGTATTAAGTACTTCGACGCCGAGACCACGCCAGGGATGGGTGATTGCTTTTATGTAGCGGTGGCTCGCGCCCTGCACCGCCTCTCGCCGTCGACGAGCACTCCGAAGCCAGGGGATCTCGGCGCTAAGGGAAGGCTGCAGGGTCCGATTCGGTTGAAAGAAGCGGCTGAGGGTCTCAAGAAGACGTTCAACGCAGCCAAGACGGACGCCGAGGCGATAGGCACCACGGGCACAGCGGCAAACTCGTTTGCAGTACGACTGACGGCGAAGGCGCTCAACGTGGATATGTACGTCTGGGCCGTGCCCAAAGGAGCCTCCACGTGGACACTGTTCGTGAGGGAGGTCAAGGGGAAGCCCCTAAAAAAGGAGACCTTCCTCACGAGTGGTTGAAAGTCAAGCCAGACGCGACCGAGACTGCGGAGTACCAGGCGATCATCATGTTGTGAAGAAAAAAGCGTTTGAGTATCCAGCCACTGGCCTACACCGAAATGGGAGGGACATCGGCGCCGACTTCAAGTTCGATCAGGATGCGGAGTCCCTCCTGGGGCTCAGCAGGATGTCCGCAGCAGCAGCGGCTTCGGACCAGAGGGTTGCAAGTCTTCTGAGACTCGAAGCGAGCGAGAGGGACGAGATAGAGGAGAAGGGCATCATCGAGGACCTCCACGGGACGTATGAGGCGGGGGACTGCTGCAAACGTTCGAAGTGTGGCTGAAGACTACAGGCTATTCAAAGAGCGAGTCGCACGGAAGGTGTGAGGACGTGTATGGTGCAGAATATTGTGCACTGTAGAGAGTGCATGGGTACGCTGCCGCCAAAGATTACAAAAAGTGCGCATTCAGCCGTGTCAAAGTGGTTCGCCAATTCCCCGACGGTGCGGGAGAACGTGAGGCGGAAGGTATTCTTGCAACATCTGCTCTGGCGGTCCCAGCTGCCGCCGAGGACCCAGGAGGCGATGCGCGACCCAGACCCTGTCACGATTACGTCAAAGGTGGGGCCAACTGCCAACAGCAATCAGTAAGCCGAAGGTGTGGAGCGGAGAGGTCGCCAGCTCAGTTGCCCTGCAACCCATGCGTTCGGCGTCCAACCAGTTGCCTCGCCAGCTGTTCATCATGTCCACGATCGGGCGTCAGCGAGCGGCCAGATTATTCGAAAAGATGGCCATCCACATCCAGCGCACGAGGGAGAGGGGAATTGGTCACATCACGACGAGCCCGCATCCAGCAAGGTGCGCAATCGCAAGCTGCACGAGCGGACCAAGAAAAAGGGCATGGGCGTGCGACAAGTACCTGGCGATGCGGAAGCGCCGCGTGATCGTGGACAAAGCAAAGAAGTTGGGAGGATGTTGAGGGCGCCCCGCTCTTCGCGAAGGTCTTGATAAGGGAGGGGAAGCCGGCGGACCTGCACACCTCCTAAAGAGGGCTGACCAGTCGTCAAGTGTCAGGTTCTGTATCATGTGTCATCATAATCGGCAAGTTTCCACTTCTGTAGAATGTTTCAGTTTCTGTAGAATGTTTTACCATCGAGAGCGATTCCACGTCCATCGAGAGCGACCTTATCGTCATGCTAGCAGGTCCCGTCCCCTTCGAGGTTTGCAGCATCAGGCCGTACCGCTGGGAGTCGCATGTGCAGAGCGTGCCTGTGGCACGTGTATGCTGAGAGCCCGTGGTTGCAAGCAGGCGT